ACAATCGGACAATCTTTTAGGTTAAATTTAGGAGAGAAATTTTAAGCTTGAGATGAAACCTAGCAAGGCCTAAGGACGTGAAATGGAAACGAGAGCTACACTTTTCCTTAAGAAAAAAAGATCACATCACACGCATATACAAGACTTCAAACCCAAGACCTTTTATTTGAAAGACAAAGCTCTCAGCCATTAGGGCAATATGATTTACATGGATAAACATTATTTACATACATACATGGCAGAAATAAAACTTAATATAATAAACATTATCCACACAATTCTTATGTATTTACTTTTGCAACATCTAAATATTCATAATTGGTGCGTGCGAAAAAAATTGTGGCGATAGAATTGTGATTTATCATCTTAGCATTGTAAGAAAATTCAACATAAAACACATAAAAAATATATTGAAGGGGCACACTAGAATTTTTTCTTAGAAAAGTCCTAAATAGAAACAAACACTAGGTACACCAGTCAAAGTTATCCAATATATGTTTGTAAATATAAGAGTACACTCTTCTCTAATGATAAGGAGAACGCAGTTACAATCTTATACTAAAAATTACACTTATCTTTATATAACCAAAAAATAAAAGTGTTAGGAAATTTAACAACATTCGTAGTATAAATTCAACAACAGACGTAGTCTGTCTACAACTGTTACATGCAGTTATCGTGGATTGTTGGTGGTCGATGACGGTGGTGACAACAGGCAACGGGTAACATGGTTGGCGGCTACGTAGGTCGGTTGTTACTCATGGAGTCTTTTCTCTATAACAAGCTTTGAAATTTCACTTATCATTCCATTCTCCTCCCCCTCCGAGTGACAAGAATGAGCCTATTTATAACTTTTGGGAAAGGTCATTTTGGTCTTTTAGTACATAATTTCCTTAATGACCACATTGGATGGTTCATATTGACCCCCCTTGATTATAAGTGATGTTTAAGGATTTGAGCGCCTTAATGACATTAGATTGAGTGATCTTAGGCTTGTTGAATTCCTCTCATCAGAACGCTCAATTTGACTATAAATATACAAAACTTGGAGTTCAATTCTCCATTTAATTGATGATCCAAAGTCTCCAATTATGCTCCAATGGTTTGATCTGAGCTTGATTGGACTCAAAATGAACCAATTTTAGAGTTATTGCGTTCAACTTATTATGAAGCTCATTTTGATTATAAATTCGATGAAATCAGAGCTTGGTTGATCGTGAATTTCATCTTGGAAGATTTCATATAAAAATGTTATGATATTTGTGCTTGTTCATTAAACTTTATTAATGACACATCAATTTCCCCCTATCTTCAAACATTATTGCTTGTGTCATTCAAAAATATAAATCATTGGATAAGTCCCCATCATAAGTTTAGATATTCCAAAACTCTGCAAGTTAATTGGATCAAAATTCCAAATTTACTCATAAAAATTTCATGGAGTTCTAAATTGTCATAAATCAGTTCGGAATGTAAAAAAATAGTGAAATATGTACTTTAGAAAAAAAGACATGATGTCAATGTTATTGTTGGTGACAGCGAAGTAAGAGGAATTTTTGAAAATCCTTTAATTTGTGATGAATCGCACCACAAATAATTTAGTAAGCTCATCAAATGTATGGGGTAAATAAAGCTAAGTATGTGCTTAGTATTTGAGAGCAGCGGAAAAAAGCTCAAAGAAGCTTGTCAGAACCTTATTGTCTGTGCATAATGATTCTATAATGATCAACGTGTTCATATGGTTTATACGTCCCATCACAAGAATTAAGGATTGAAAGCTTGAACTTTGTTGGGATAGGTCATTGAAGGACAATATGAACCAAAAGAGAAGTCCGAAGAGAACTACGTTGAGCAGATAAATAACTTCTATCTTCTTACACTAGACATCATAACTCATCAACGATTACATGAGGTCGAGCTGAATTCTCCACACATGTTGGAGGTTTGCGTTTAGGATTGGCTACACGAGATGGATGCGTAGAGCTTGCAATATCCAGGAGTTAGCTTCCTGAAAAGGAACTTCAATGTGTGAAGGGGGTGCTAATTGCGTACCTCTAATTAATAAATTTGAGGTAATTGCACGCCCCCAATTTACAGTGTCATCGGCTGCCAAGCCTCATATAAACGTCATAGAATTTCATTTTGAAATTCTTTCATTCTTCGTACACAATAATCAAGCAAGGGATTTTTTTTTGTTGGGTGATATATATCAACGAAAATTGAAGCAGAGGCTTGATATCTCAGACTTTGACACTACACTTTGGAATGGTGAGTTTTATAATGAAAAGCTCGTGCATTGCATTTATTAGCTATTGAAGAAATTTAAACTTCTACAAATTAAACTTTGTTCCCCATAGAAAACGTCGAATTGTTGCGCGACAGAAAATTAAAAACGATAGAGTGGTAATTTATCATCTTAGCATTGTATGAAAATTCAACATACACACACATAAATAAGAAAATATAGCGAAGGGAGAAGCCAAAATTTTTAAGTAGAAAAACCCTGAAAGGCTACGGAGGTCAATGGCGACAAATAGCGACGGTGGGCGGTGGGGTTGACTGGTGGCTATGGAAGTCGATGGTTACTTGTTGGGTCTTCTCTTCAAAACAAACTAAGGATTTCACTTCCTCTTCCTCTTTTCCCCTTCTAATTGAAAAGAGGGGATCTATTTATAGTTTTTTTTTTGTGAAGGGGTATTTTTGGGCATTAGGTATAGCTTCCCTAACCACCTGAATGAACGATCCATACTGATCTCAATTGATTATATTTATTCTTTTTAGCAATTTGTTAGTCTTAATGACATCAAAATTGAGCGATCACAGACTCACTGAATTTTTCTTACTGAGATGCTTGATTTAACCATAAATATGTCAAATTTGGAGTTCATTTGCCCACTCAATTGACAACTCAAAACCTCCAATTTTGTTTCAACGGCTTGATCTAGTCTTGATTGGACTTGAATTGACTTTATCATAAAATTTTTGGGATCATCTTGCTGAGAAGCTCAGTTTGAATACAAATTTGATGACATTGGCGCTTGGATGATCATGAATTTAAATTTGAAAGATTGCTTGTAATCAAGATTCGTGCTTGACCATAGAATTTTGTTGGTAACACATCAATAATTATATGCATACCACTCAATTCTTCACTTAAAAAGTAATATCATGACCATCTTCTTAAAAGTGAAATACATATGACGACAAGTTTATGACAACAATATAATATATATGTAAATATCAAAACTTGGGCGTTAGATATATAAATACATAAGAATTGTGTGGTATGTGTAAAATTCCCATATAATAAATGAGTTAACTTTTAATTTATTATATTTGCATGTTAGTCTTATGTTGGTACTCAAGCCTCTAGCCTAGAGATCATTGATTCAAATAATAACATATAGATTCAACTAATAACATATAGATTCAACTAATAACATATTCAGAGTATAATTCTTCAACAACTTATCATATCTTTCTTTTTTAATTTTGTTTTAAATACATTAAATTATAAAAAAAATAGTTACTAAAATTTGCAAATATGAAAAATTGGGTCAAGATATCAATGATGATAGTCTTAAAACAGTGGATTTATTTTGAGATGTGGCCCTCATATAAATTCTATTGATTAATAATATATTATTCTCACAATAAAATAAGTACAATAGCATTAACTTATAATGATCAAAATTTAATCTTGATATTCAAACCCAATTTTTTTTCTTAAGAGATATTCCTCTTGAATGTATCTCAGAAGTTCTTGCAAAATTCTTAGAAATAGAAAAAGAAATAGTCTCAGAAGTTCTTGCAAAATTCTTAGAAATAGAAAAAGAAATAGGAAAAATTACATAATACCTGTTTAATTCCTATATTTATACACCTAACACCTAAATATTAATTTTTACACGTCGTTCTATTTAGGGCTGTCAAAACAGCTCGTTGTTCGCAAAAAGCTCGTGTTCGGCTCGTTCGCTAAGTTAACGAGCCGAACACGAACAAATATTTGTTCATTCAAGTTCCGCTCGTTTTGGCTCGAAATACTACTAATCAATTATATTGTATCTTTGATGGGTAGTATTTTAAAAAACTTTAGTTGACTACAAAGCTACAAAGATTTATAATCAATTAAAAGTATTAATAAATAAAATTAAATAAAAATTATTAAATTAGATTTAAATGATGTCTTAAATCTTGTCTCAATCCTTAACATCTTATGACTACGTGATTAGGTTTGTCAAAACAACATTTGTTGGTGAATGACTCGTATTCGGCTAGCTAAGCAAACGAGCTGAACACAAACACACTTTTGAGCTCGAAATATAATCGAGTCAAACACGAGCTGAACCTGGGCTGCTCGTGTTCGGCTCGTTTACACCCCTAGTTCTATTTATATATGAATAGGATGTATTTAATGCTTTAAAGATTAAAATAGTGATATTCGTTATGAGATATAAAAAATCTAGATAGTATAATTGTAAAAGGGTAAAATTTAGATTTAAATATATTAATTTTTCTTCTTTTTAATTAGAACTACCGGCATAACACAATGGTATTTACAGAATTTTTATAAATAAAAAAAATAAGAACGAAAATTTTAAATTTATTTTGAGATGAAAAAAATATTAAAAGTTAATGAATTTTTACATTTAACATATTTTAATGCAAACGAAACCAATTTAATTTCTGATAAAAAATATATATGTACTTGGAAAATCACGCCATACCTTCAAGCGGAGTATTGAAAGGTTGCGCCGGCCCTGCTGCAACAAATGAGCTCTCCGGCGAGATCGTCGGCTTCGGGAGCGAGCGCCGGGCAAATTGGCGGTGCTTCCAGCAGTAGTAACGCTGGATTAATTGATGATTCTGTTTACCATTTTCCTACCGATCTCATCTCTGTTCATGACCGAAAGGAGGCGGCCTTAACTGGTAAACATTCAAGCCCCATTCAATTCCAATCGTTCTTTTTTTGTAGCCCTAGGGTTTCTTAAAAGCCTTCAGTTGATTCTTTTGATTTTAATTTTACCGGGCTTCTTCTTCTGATAATATTCTATTCTTCGTTTGAACGCTCATTGCTAAGTCTTGAGGTCGGATCTGATGGCATCGCTCCAGAAGGAGGTGAAATCTCTGGACGAAGACGGTTGGATGTTTTCTGGTCCTCGCTCACAAATTCATCTCGTTCTAAGACCAGGTGCATTTTTCTTTTCTTTGAGTTTATTTATGGGGGCTTTGGTTCCCCTATGTTGTAACAGGCCAAACTCCGTCCTTTGAGATATTGTAGGCTTTGGCCTGATGGCCTCAAAATTTTGTCCCATTGGTGTAATTTTGTCAAGAGATCACCCATTGGAGGAGTGCTCCCACACAACACATTTTGGAGTTTTTGATGAAATAAAAACCATTACACCAAAAGGCACTTCAATTCTTAAAAGTTTAGCTTCATTCTACTTAAGGGGTTTTATTATTTCCACTTCTTAAAGTAACTGACATCCTTATCAATTTTCTTAACCCATAATCATCCACTAGTGTACTATATAGATATTCATATCTTCAGATTGGTGTAAGGCTCTTACCCATCAATATATTGTTACTTTAACCTAATGACCTCACGATTTTGTCCTATAAGTG